GGGGGAGAAGCGTGGGGGAGAGGCGTAAGGCGCTTTACGCACAAAGTTAAATAGTCTGTTGGGCAACTCTTACACAATTTGAGACTTTTCAAAGTATAAACAGTCCAAGAATACTTATTTTATAAAAATGATACTGACGGTTTAGTTTACTATTATATAATTTTAGAAGACTTAAACAAGTATTGCAAAGTTCTTCTGGTGCTTTATCACACTACGTCGGTAGGGTTTGTGGTTCACGTTGCCGTAGATTTACTGAGCAGATATTTCCATGGTTCCTTTGTTTTTGAAGTAAATTTTCTCTATTCGTTACGACGTATCAAATGAAGTTTTCACTGTTATTGAAGCTAATTAAATAAATCAATAGTCTCCATTTAGGCGTACGATCCGGGAGCAATAGATTAGGGGAAGCTCGAGGTAAATGAGAGGACGGGACCATCAACTAAGACGTCTTAATAATGAACCAAGTACTTGTCCGCCTCCCTTGTTGCTTGAATCTTCAAAGATTTTTCTTTAAATTTCAATTACTAGTTTTACATTTAAAAAACTCAAATGACTCATTTGAATCAATTACTTCAGTTTCTGTTAAGAAGCTCGAACGTATTTTTCGTAATGTAATTCGCCAACTCATGCCCATTTGTGCGATATATTTCCTCTTCTATCGGGGCTTCCTTCTAGTTGGCCAGAGGTTCTGAGAGCAAATTCTGACATAGAACTACACGTTTAATTCCGGTACAGTAAATTTCAGGTTCTGTTGTTGCTGAAGTATTGGAAGACAGGCTTAGGCAGAACAAACGGTGACATGGAATACGACAAAATCAAAACCACTGATATGAGGATTGCATTCAAATAAATTGAAAGAAACGTTTCAAAATATTTAACTGACAACTCAGTTCATGACAAATGATATGTTCGTGACAAGTTCTGTTAGTATAGCGTTTTTTTTATCCCGGGAGGTGATTCCTTCTCCTCTCGATGATGGAACCTGGCGCCGACCTACACTTCGGGTTGTTGGGGATTTTCCCATCTAAGTATCTTCCTCAGAGTGGCACCGCCCCAGTTCGGACACGTTCTAATCTCCCATCATGTTTGGTAGTGTAGTGTGTATGTATGTATGTATGTAGCAACACATTGTGTGCCTAGCTCTGTAGCTAGTATGCAAATCAACCTCTGTCGGAGGTCCTGGGGTTCGTGCCCCCAAGTCAGTGTTGCTGAAGGGTCGACGGCAATGCTGGCTCGGAGCTAAACCAAGCCGGTAGATCTTTCTCTTTAACAATGTTTACGGAAAACCGCCAAAAACGATTTTTTTAAAACTTTTTTTTATTTAGTAATTATGGCGACGCGTCTCAGATTACACAAGGCGGCGTAGAAAGGCGCCGGCGGGAGTGAGCAAGCGGGGGCAGAAAATCACAAGTCGCCTCCTGCGCTTACGCTACGCTATTGGCTGCCGCCGCCGCCGCCGCCGCCGCCGCCGCCCGCCCCCACCTTCCCAGACGGGGGAGTCCGCGCGCGAGAAACTTATTTACAAATCTCATTTTACAGAAGATGGAAGAACTCCTCCCCCCCGACCCCCCCATCGGCTCCCCTCGCCGCAGCGCCGTCACAGGGAAACTCTCGTTCATGAATCCCTGAAATATTCACCCTCCGAAAGGGTCGTAATCCGAACCCCGGCGACAGATGAGTTCGAATTAGGGCGGGGGTTGTGAATGCCGAGTTGGCTCTTTACGCCTTCCGGACTGCCATTTCGGATAGCCTACTTTCGATTTCGTAACAAAAATGTATTTCTTCCCCGAGTTGACAATGTGATCTTCCGGGAAACTGCGACTTTATAAATACCTCCACGAGGAGAAAGAAGAGGCTGAATGAACTGTTTTCTTCTGACGATAGTGTCACGAAACGTGATTATTAAAC